ARSGGSKMCACMTGTCGAGCGCATCGGTCCCACACGGGGACCCTCCCGGCCGCGTCACGCAGGATTTGGCATGACTTGTCGCGGAAGAGCGTGTTGSCGCTCCGRCCGAGTGCGCCAGCCGTACCTCTCACGCGCCCCTACGACAGGACAGGGCCACGCGAGGCACCGCTACCTCCACAAGCGGGAGCTGTCACCATCCCTTTGGTGGGCGTATCCCCGCSGAGCTACTSAACCACATGCGAAARCTTTTATAATGCARTTGCAGAGGTGGCCCAGCCGAKGGCGTTTCTCGTTCGCTGTAGCATAAGGGTTACGCGCGGTCAACGCCCGAAATYGAACCCGTACRCAAGYCGRCGACACTGGGGRSCTGAAGTCCCAAKCTCGACTTGACGTCGGTCGACTAGGAYGCTTCACGCACACCACGCGCTACACCACTCTAAAACAAAAATCAAGTAACTCGCACACACGCACACACAAGCAAAACAGAGAAAATACAACTCCCAGTCCCTTTGGTATCYGACCCATAACTCTTCGACACGAACGCTAGGTATCCATTGCACGCTGGACTTAGTATAAAGGACCCCGCGAACGCACGGCCTTCTCATACCAACCAGTCATGCGTGCTTACACAAATGATTGCAGTGATGGGGTACTATGTGGCGTCCAAGCCTGGGTGRCCCTCAGTTSGTTTRAGGGTTTCCTTCSACACTYAAGTGTCGGYTGACAAGCGYKTCAAGGGTTAATCTCTCCGCGCTAGACAACCGCCATGAGCGGTTGAGGACCACACCCTCTTCTGCACCCTGTGCAGAGGGGTTGAGTAGACAACTTCAAGCTGTCGTGGCAGCCAAAGATCAAGAGGTTTGACTTTGACAGCTGCCACGGGCTACAACGCCCAACCATTAAAGCTTTAAGAAGGAAGCGGTCCAAGGCCTTAGTCAGGGCGAGCGACCCTGCTTAGCCCRTAGTCYGCCCCGATACCCTTTAAAGGCAGGCTAGCACGAAGYCGTGCACAAACAAATCCCACGTCTGGTCCCTAAGCGGGCCGACGTTTGGCGCGCCTGAGCGCTCGAACGTGGAATCCTTACGCACTCCTTCGCGTTGTTGCCCATCATGCGATTCCGTCTCYGTCGTCAGACCCATAACTCTTCGATGWRGGAGTCAGGTCGGCGCCGCGTGCCGGATTCAATAYAATCCRCGCGRGTACTAGGCCTTCCCATATCGACCAGCAATGTTGTCCAACTCAAGCATTCGCTGAAATATCTTCGCGATATTGAATGGCTGAAGGAATATATCGTGGGGGCTCGCCCCTCACGATATTGAACGGCTGAAGGACACGCTGTTCGGCCCACAGGGCACCCCTAGCCTTGCGGTTAGGCGGCCTGGTGGGCAGGGCACTTAGGCCCTGTGCGGGAGAAAAATCCCCCGCCGCAGGGTTTGGTTCGGGGTCCTTGTTGACAAGGACCTTGAATTCCTGGCCCAAGGACTAACGTCCGTCTACAGAACTTAAAAAAAAAGGAAAGGTGGGTTGCGCGGGAGTAGGGGAAGGGATCCTTTCTCTTCTCGCACGGTCCCCGCCTCATCACATAATACTTGACCAGTCACGCGAAGGGTCGCGCGTGGGTAGGGCTCAATTCGGGTGCCCAAGCAACCCAGCGCTCAGAGCGTTACATGTTCGCGCGCGGGCTTTCCCTGGGGTCGACCGAACCTTAGGACCACAGTCGCGCGCACCCTTGCCACACTTAAACTCACGCTCATACATTTATCGTCCCCCTAGGTAGGTTACACAGGGATACAGAAAGGGCATAGGTGTGCACTCGCACAGCCGGGTGAGGGCTATGCAAGCGTGAGCCTAGCCTCAATACATAGACAAGGAGATTAGTCAGGCAAAGAGTTGTGCGATAGTACACTCTCACAATAGTTTACGTGGCTTGCCCGCCTGAACTCAATACAATCAGAACATCAGACTCATTCAACATACTTCAAACATACATGTGATCACACACAAGAGTCAAACAACAACGCACACACTAAAGGGGGTCAACTTTCCAACTTTATGCAACTCATACCCTGCCTTATGCACACAAGCCCAACCATTCCCCCACCATTCCAAACAAAGATACTCAGTTCTCAAGAAATGGCCATTTATAAAGAAGTTGGGTGAAAACCCAAGAAACATGAAAACCAGTCAGGGACAAGGCTTTAGGTTGAGAGGCAGAAAAAAATGGAAGGTTGAGTCGTGTACCGACGAACCGGCAACCGACCTGTTATCAGTGATAACACTGTTATCAGTGATAACAGAAGAGTAGTCAGGCTGACCAAGTCAGACCTTCGAAATAAGCGTACAGCTTGCACGACAGCACAGGTCAAAGAGAAATTGCTCCTAGGTTCAGCATAAGTGAGGAATACTCCTATCTCCTCTACCTCACTGAAAATATTCTAACTCCTCTAATTTTGCGAAATTTCGGCAGCGCTTCCCGTATGAAAAATGTCTTCCCAGAGTTTATACGACTTTAAAAATGACTAACTCCTTCAGATTTGCAGAAATTTCGGCAGCGCTTCCTGTAGGAAAAGTAGGCTGCCAAGAATTATACAAAGTTGAGGAACAAGCTGCAAAGCAAAACTATACTTGGGACTTACTTCTGACATCTGTTTGGCAAGTTAGGCTCAACACTGGTCTGCATGCCTTCTAAATGAGACCATGAACCAATGCTGACCCTAATCCCCAGCAGGGTCAGTCCTATCTCATCCCAAGYTTCCCTCCCATCATCCACCTTACCTACGTATGGCTCTAGCACTCGGCGAACATTTACAACAACTACTCTATCAAGAGATGCCCCAAGTGAGAGCCTACAATCATGCAAATGCAAACATCTCTCATAATCCCACATGGATTCAGCCAAGTAGTTCGTTTGGTCATTCTATTCTTCCCTTTTAGCATCCCCCTCTCCTATGGCATAAGATCAGACAAGGCCCTAACATAAGGGTATGGCTGACCTGCTTAAATAAATAAGTAAAAGGTACACACGATTGGACTGCCCTAACATAAGGATACAACCCACACACGACAAAAGAACGTATGCCCAACTGCCCTAACATAAGGATACACCCGACACAATATAAACTAAGACATAAGGCATATGACCAGACACCCTAACATAAGGATATGTCTGGCTTCTGCCTGACTAACGACATGAAGCATAAATTAGGCTGCCCTAACGTAAGGATGCAGCCTAACCAGCTTATACAAGTTACATATGGCATAGGATTAGACCGCCCCAACATAGGAATACAACCTAACCTGCCTAAAACCAAATACGAACGACGAGTGGTTGAGCCGCCCCAACATAGGGATACAACCAACCTACATCACTTCAACGACAAGAGCATACTACCAGACCGCCCTAACATAAGGATACAACCTAGTACTTGCTTAAACAATTTAATTACGTAAGGCATTGCGACTAGACTGCCCCAACATAGGGATACAGCCCGATCTGCCTGAACTACCATAACAACGGATGACTAAACACCCCAACATAGGGATATGCCTAGCCTCCGCAACGACAGATTATACAACCATGAATGCACTTGAACAAACTTTATAGATTTCTCTCTTATTAAACAGATGGTTAAACCTACTCAACATAGGGAGTTGGTTGCGCAACGATAAGCAGTTTTCTCTCTCCTGGCACCCCGAAGGGTTCCGACTCTTGACCTCATCGACCCCAATGACCTTCCCTCCAGCTAAGCCTCTCCACGCGGCCGACCTCTCAAGTCTTAACCTTTGGTAAGCCATGGTCCCGCTGTCAGGTTGCGCCGATCAGCGGCCCTCGCTGGGAGTTAGTTCCTACAGTTCCAGCGATGCTAAGTATAGCCCCTTAGCCTGGCCTTACATAATGTGTCCCTTAGACTGACTGCTTGTGGTTTGGCCTTCTCTGTCATACACAAAAATATTCAAAGGACCACATACCACCGCCCACAGGACTACGTGGAGGGATAGTGCCTTTCTCAAAATTCCACAAAAAAAAAAATAAAAAAAAAATCCACAAGGTCGTGCCTTTCTTGCTTTGATCAGAGCAGACAAGGTCACACGTCTTGTAGGGACACCTTACCAAAATCTCCATCACATTTACCAGAATTCATCCATAATTCTCACGAAAAACTCTGGTCTTTCCTTGTAAGACTTTGCATGCATACAAAATTTTCATCATCGTCATCATTATAGCATCTCCTCACAGTGCTCTCTGATAATTTCATTTATGCACATGAGAAACTCAATCGGCCATTGAGTTCCCTTTCACACTTTCAGACCATACAATATGACACAACCTCAGTTGTGACCTTCCATTCATACCATTATTCAATTTCAACACACAGTATTCTCACATATGATGCGCACTTTCCTTCAGCTGTATTTCAGTATTTTGCCTGTAACAATGACAGGTATACTCAAGTATGGAGAAGCGATAGTGCAGATGCATCTAACATAATTGGCATTCCACAACATTCACACATACATGGGCAAGTCCACAACTGAATGTGAGCGAGATGTATCACACAAACTCCATAAAGCCTGTATCTCATATATATGCAAGAAAAATGGGTTTTTTGCAATAACCAGAACCCCTGTCATGCTCAAAGACTCAAGGTATATACAATGAATTAAAAGCGTCCAGAAAGCTCAGTATAGTCAGGTGTTAGGTCTCACTGTCACCTTGTACCGCACACTCATGACTCTCACAAGTCTCACACACTCTGCTCTAGAAAGAAAGAGTAAACACAGCTCACACAAAAGATACACAATGTACGCTGTATCAACGAAAACGAAAGTAGCCTGCTCACACTCAAGGCTATCTAGCGTACAATTAGTCCTGAAGGTCTATGATGTAATAGTATTCATCTCAGTACAGACTCTGTCTACTGATATACATGGGTGTCATCCAATCCTCCATGTGTCCATCTATATACAATCATCTATCAGCAGAGAGCCGAAGATGTCTTACACATACCCAAGTTAGACCTTTCCGGACCTATTAACTGAATCCTACTCCTGATCACTCAAGTCCATCTGCAGCTGCCTATACAACTGCGCTCTCACCCCATCACGAGCCCTAGGGACTCGGACTCCATTTCTATCCCTCCATACTCCCGGGGAGTCCTCAGTAACCAAACCATCGGCCTCGTCCTTGAGACTCTTGAGACAATCATTGGCCCGATGTTTACCCCTCGTGCAGTAGAAGCATTTGCCAATCTTCTTCTGCGTCCCTCTCTCCTCTTCCTGCGAGGGCGCTGATGAAGGGACTGCCGTGACCTCGCTAGTGACCTCCTGCTGAGGTATCTCTGCTGGAATGGGGCAGGCGGCTCTGTCTCCCTCCTGCATGGCTGGACCACCCACACGTGTCTCTGACCCAGACCCAGTGGCCCATGAGCCCAAAGCCTCCTCCAATCCAACCACCAAAGGCATGCTTGGAGGTGTAGCGGACTCCTGGCAGATCTCCTGGCCTGCTCCCTGCGCAGTCTCTTCCTCAACTCCCTGGACCATCTGCCCCTCGGCCACCACCTGGATAGTAGGCAATACTCCCTCATTTCTCTGAACCAACTGTCCCTCGATAACCTCCTGGGCGATAGGCAACATGCTCTCATCCCTCACTGTCTTCGCCTGCTGTGCTCCGCCAAGTCCCTCACAGGCCTGTTGGTGCGCCACAATAAAAGGTATTGGCCAATCAGACTCTTCGCCGCTTGCCCCCTCCTCAGTGTGCACTGTTTCAGGCTGCAGCATCTCCTTGCCCCACAAGGGTATATCTTCTCCTTCCTGAAGGTCGGCCTTTTCTTTTGCCTTCTGACTTCTGAAGGCTTCTTCTGCATGTGGCCTCTTCATCTCAAACCCTTGGACTTCAGTCCAATCCACCAAGGTCGTGGGTGCTCTCTGCTCGAGCTTTGTTTCCAACTCCTTGATCCTCTTTTCCCACTCTCTGTCCTTTGTCTGGAAGAAAATCTGTTGAGCCTGTTGGTATGCCCTCTGAGCCTCGTTAACTTTGTTGAGGGTCTGGTTCACCTGCCTGATCGTCTCATTGCCTGCCCAGGCCTTCTCTAGCTCCATCTTCAGCGCGTTCAATTTGCGCTCTTGCCTCTCCTGGTTCGCCTTCAGCTCCCTAATCTCCTGTTCACATTCCACCCTCTGACCATAGGCCTTTTGTGCCACCTTGGTCAACCTTTCTCCAACCCTCTGATCTGACGCCCGAGCTGCTGCAAATCCTTCCTTCATCGTCCCTCTCAGGGCAAGTCCGCGTAGACCAACTTCACCCCCATCTCCTGTTGTGGCCCCTCAGGTCCTCTTGCAGCCCCCATCAACCTGTCGAAGTTAGCCCACGCCTCAGAGAGTAGGGGAGGGTCGTCCTCTAGTTCGTTGCCGGTACTCTTTCCCTTCTTGTCCTTCACAACCACTGACCGCTCTTCTTGTTCCATCCTCTTGTACAGTTTCTCGAGGTTCTTCCTCCTGATCTCTGCGCCAATCTCTCGGTCTCTGGCGGCTCTTTCATGTCTCTCCAATTCCTTTTCTCTGGCAGCCTGATCCTCATCCACCTCTTGCCTTGGCGACCCACGTCCCTCTGGCCCTGCCTCTGCTATGGGCTGATCCCCCTGCCTCTGAACTGGCTGGGGAGGAGCCTCTGGCACCTCTGACCATCTCCTCCTTTGTGCCCTCTCAGATGGCTGTTCCTCCTTCCTCTCTGCCTTGTGGGAAGCGTGCTCTCTCCTCTTCTCACCCTCCTGAGACCTGGACGATGCACCCCTCTCAAAGTTCCTCTTGCCCTCAGCCTCAGGCTCCTTCCTTTTCTTCTCCATGCTCTTCCTTTCCTCTGCCTGGCGTGCTGCAGTATACCGCTTGCAATCTCCCCAGTGTAATGCTCTTTCCACCACACTCCTGACGAACAACCTGATATGCCTCCTCACAAACTGGAGGAACCCCCTCACTCTCGACTTAGGCTCAACGTTCTGCTCGTCTGCAAATCGGTCGTACGCCCACAGGAACTCCTCCAGGTTCGTCCCATCGAACCGGATCGGCACTCCATCTCTTCCCACAGGTGATGGATGTATCCCTTCCATCTTCCTCTCAAACTCTGTCCAGGCCTCCTGGCTTCATCCCACCTGAACTCATTGGCATGCTTCTCAAACTCCACCAGAAACAGCTCAACGTTCCCTCCTCTGAAGATGGGCGGCCTGTCTTCTCTCCGGGTCCATGTACTCTCTGTCTAGCGGCCCCCTGAGGGGGTTCCACTGGCCCCGCCCCTCCCTTCCCTCTCGGCATGGCTTCGCCAAAGTGGTGTAAAGCCTGCACAACAAGGAAGAGACAAGCAAAAGCACACAGAGTGTAAGCAAGTTCGACACACAGTGAGAAACAAACAGATCCCTCCCCATCTAACCTAGACATACACATACATATACACACGCACCTATCCTATCATACAAACCCTAACATCATGACCTATCATACCATTCTAATGAATGGCCATACAATCTATACTGATACTAATACCCCCATCAGAACGACATGCTTAACTAGAATGAGGGACTCTAACTTGCGAGGTCCAGGCTCACCTCATCTCGAGCGACAAACATCTTCAACCTCGAGCCAGACACCCAGTCCCTCCAAGCGGTCTCATTCAACTCTTCAATCTGGTATGCGCCATACTCTCTAACTCTTGCGATCTTGTAGGGTCCCAACCACCGCTTGTCCAACTTTCGTGACCACTGCTTCTCCAGGGATGAATCATATAACAACACAGTGTCACCCACCTTGAGAGGTTCCTTCCTTACCCTGGCCATCTGATCCCACCTGTACTTGTCCTGAGCCCGATTACCAGCCAGCCTATTTGCCGCGCCCTCAATATGGTCTTCTATGGTGCCAATCTGACGTGCCCTTAAGTCCAGCAGTTCCTCAAACGTCAACTCCGTTTCAAGGTCCTGCCGCCTCCAAGTTTTTAGGAAGCTTTCAATAGGGAACGTCGCATGTCTCCCATACCATAATGTGGCTGGAGCGTAACCGTTGCTCCTCCTGACTGTGATGTTGTCCACGAAGAACGCGACCCTCAGAAAATTTGGCCACTGATTCGGCCTCCCACTAGTCCACTTTGCGAGAAGGTTCGAGATGGTACTATGTCCTCTTTCCACCGGCGCATTTGCTTGGGGATGCGCTGCAGTAGTGTATTCAGCAATCACCCCATATCTTAGTAGAAGCGCCTTTACCTCTGTACAGGTGAATTCAGACCCCCTATCCATAACAAATCTGGAGACGAAGGGATATCGGAGGTAATACTTTTCGATGCAGCGCGCCAACGTCTCACCAGTCCTAGTACGAATGACACTTCCATCCACGAACCCTGAGAAGTTATCGCGCGTATCGAAAATAAAGTTGAATCCTCCTATCCCCTGCGGCATCGCTAGTAGGTCCAGGTGTACGACTGCTCCGACCTCGCGTACGTATCTTGGGTGAAGCGGTTCCCTAGGTCTGAGGGAAGATCGCTCCTGACATGGCACACATGATTTACAATAGTCGTCAATCATCTTGCCCATGCCATGCCAAAAGTACAATTCTGCTATCTTGAGGTACGTCGTGTCCGTACTCCTGTGCCCACCTGCTGTGCCATCATGCAGGGCAGCTATGACATCAATCTGACGAGCGATGCCACAGACCACCCTCCTTGGAAATCTCCCCTTCCTCTTCATAAACAGGTGACCATTTCTCACCAGAAAGTTTGGCCGCATCTTCAGGACTTTTCACTTGCATCCCTTTCCGTCATTTCACATGAAAGAAGCATTCCGAGCTCTAGGTAGACCCCATCGTACTCTTCTGCTCGAAAGGCCTCTTTGATTTCGCCTTCCTCAAAATCCTCTTCTTCTCTCTCATATACCTCGCTCTCACTCCTCTCCTGATCTTGCCCAGCATTTATGGCCGCTTCCTCTTGCAGTAAGGCATTGGCCAGTAGGTAGACTTCTCCTACCGATCTCTCATGTTTTTCCACTTGCTGGGCCCCATTCTCCACAGTGATCAGGTCCTCCCCCAGTTGATGCTTATCCGCCAAGGCCAATTCCATCATCCATTCCACATCCGGCTTTCCCCACGAGTCTTCTTCCACATAGGGTTTTAGGACTAACCCTGGCAATCGCACATATCCTGGAGGTGTCAACCACACAGGCCGTCCATGAGTAATGTAGTTCCCTACTGATAGCGACCAGGAGTTGATGTGAAGTCTCACATCCTCCTCGTTGTCCAAGAACCCGTCAACTGGGGGAGTATCCTCAATCACTCCTCCACTGCTCTTGTCCCAGTCGACTCGACTCAGCCCATCTGCCCGGTTCTTGTTTCCTAGAATTCGCTCCAACTCAAAATCAAACATCCAGATGTACGTCAGCCATCGGGCAATGGTTGGATTTGAGGGAGCATAATTCTTCAAAGAACCTGCTAGAGCAGTTGGATCCACCCTTAATACAAACCTGCTGCCGAAGAGGTAGTTTCTGAAGATCCTCAAGCAGTGGAGGATTGCTAAGGTCTCGCGCTTGAACTGTGAGTAGTTTCGTTCAGCGGTGTTAAGCGTTCGACTCTCGAATCTTAGCGGTCGCTCCTCTCCATTGAGGTCCTTCTTAATCAAAACCCCTCCTAAGGCAGTCGATCCTGCGTCCGTTTCTACGATAAAGGGCCTGGTCATTACAGCAGCATGGTCTGGTACCCCCAGTACCAGTCCTCCTTCCTCAAACTCCTTCTTCAGGTCCCTTATCACTACCTCCTGCGTTTCTCCCCACTCCCAATCTCGACCTTGACGCACAAGTTTTCGCAGGTGCTCTGTTTTCGCCGCAAACCCCTTAATAAATATTCTCCAAAACCCGCATGTGCCGAGGAAGCTTCTCACTTCTGTAATCGTCTCGAACGGGGTTGGCCATTCGAAAATCTTGTTCGTCTTCTTCGTATCTGGCCGACGACCCCTCTCGTCGCACACAAATCCTAAGATAGTGGCACCACTCATGCAATGCTTGGATTTTGATCCACTCGCGGTGAGGTTATGCTCCTTTAACAAGTCCAGGACTTGACATAAGTCTTGCACATGATCCCAGACAAACTGTCTGATTCCCGGCATGACCTCCCGCTCATCCTTCTTCTTCGACCATTTCACGGCCAAATCATCAATGTAAGGCTGAGTGATGTGAGGGCTTACTGGCTGCATCGCCCTCACCATGTGCCTCTGGACCATGACGACCTCATTCGTCCACCCCTGTGGTGCGACGTTCATGTGGATCAACCCTCGAGGGGTATGCATCGTCGTCATTGGCCTGTCAGATGGGTATACAGGAAACTGGTCATAACCAGAATATAGATCTATCGGAGATATAATGGCCCTCCCTGCGCATGCCTCTGAAAGCGCGTCTGCGTTAGGGAGACCGCCTGCGTCTCTAACAGTCACAGCATTTAGGCGCTGCAAGTCCTGTACCCACCTCAACGTCCGATTTGACTTAATAAAGCAAAACCAGGGGGATGCATACGGCCCGCTCGAGTAGTCTGATACATACGTGCGGATCTTCCCATCTAGGTAGTTGACTACCTTTTCCTCATCAGCTGGATTAAGATATCGTGCACCCCGCAAATTCCACGGCTCATGCGGCACAATGTGTATCCTAATCATGGGGATTTTATCCACGTCCAGACGTCCTCTCTCATCATCATTGAAGGCATATGCAGTGTGCCTTCCTCTTATGGTGTCCACCATAAGCTTCTCTTCCTGCGCTGTAAGGAAGCCAGACTCCCCTATAATCAGCGCCTTCTCGGTCTCCAGGTTGATACGACATGGCATACTCTCAGCATTCTCCCGCATCTGTCGTATCAATTCTCTCTCCCGCTCGTAGTATACTTCCTTTTCCTCGGCTACGAGCACTGGAACAGGGCGACACTTTTGATCTACCTTTTTGTACCGCCTTTGAGATCCCTGCTTGAACCCACCTCTAAAAAGGCTTAGTTGCGACCTGAGGTTGGACCCCCACCACTCCGCTGGTCCCTCCTGGCGCTCGATATACCAGTTTCATCTCCCCAGCTTCTATTTGCTCTACCACCTTTTCTCTCAAGGCCTCCGCGGCCGTAGGATCCGCCATCCCGTAGGTCGCTACTATGTCCATCGCGTCGCCTATACTTGCCAAGCTAAGGGTTATTGCTTTTGGCGATCTCTCTCCTTCGCTCTCGACTTCCCTTAGCCTTCTTCTCTCTTCTTCTGACTCCTCAATCGTGTAGGAGCAAAGACAGGGTCGATTCTGGATGCTTCGTGGCCCTGAGTTCGGGCACGTGACAACTTCATAGTTGTCGCACACTGGGTCACACACGACCAAGAACATAGTCCCTTCATGCTTAAAAATGATCGACCCAGTAAAATTGGGTGATCGAGATCGGGCATTACAAAGATACAGCTCCTCACCTTCACCTTCCCGATCTCCAGTACTACTTTGGACGCGGTCCCCACAAAGATGGACCGACTATTCGCTCCCACCAAAATGCCATTGTCGGAGCAGTCTATCTCCATTCCCAGGCACAATGCATCTTTCTCCTTAATAAGGTTCATTTCTGCGCCTGCATCTATCATGGCCGTGCACGACTTTCCCTTCATAACAACGTCAAAACACCCGCACGCCACGGACTTCCAGTCCATTTTTGTGCCGGTTTCCGCCCACTCAGCCTCCTTAGGGATTATGGCCCCTAAGTGTACACTCGCCACCATTTTCCTGCTTAGACGAGCCTTGAGCTCATCTCTAAGTCTTGGTGTTGATGCCAAGACGTCCTTCAGGTTCATGAGGTGATTATGACCTTCTACAATTCGGTCCATAATGTCCTCCACGTCAAACCCTTCTTCCACCTTGACTGTATACTTCTTCTTTGGTTCGGTGACCTTCTCTGTGTAAGTCCCGATGCCCCTCTTCTTAGCTCTTTGCTCCGCCTTTTCGTCCTCTTCGTTCCTTAGGCGGTCGTCTTCCTCATCTTCATTCCTAGGGAGTTCCACAACTTCCTTCTCTCCGCTTGGTCCGGGAGCGTCCTTGGCAGGCTGCCCTGACCCCACTGGTCCCTTGGCTCTCGTTCTGACTGCCTGGGCTACCCTCCCAGATCGTGATGGCGGCCTAAAACTTATCCCTGATCTGGGAGTCCCTCCTGTGATAGACACATTCGGGATATTCGCGGGCGCCCCCTGCGATCCTGACCCATACAGAAAGACTTGTGGCCTTTGCCCTTGCCACGCCTTAACTTCCTCGCACAACTCTACCAACTTTCCTTGGTATCGCCGGACCTTGCCCAACAAATCCTCCATATTCTCCATCGTTCTCCGGGCCTCACTCCACCATCCTCCTTCCACTGCCGGACTTTTCTCATCGTCTGAGTCTATTATGATAGGCTCCTCCCTGATAATCCCAGCTTTCCTGACTTGCTCCACCTCCTCATTTTCCCCAATCTCTTCTACCCTCACGTCCGGCTCAGCCTCCTTCTCTTGCCAAATCCTAAACATGGTTGGCGGAGCTTGTGGTGGACCGGCCGCAGCCCTTCGTAGGGCCTCTTTCCTTGTGCCCCCTGGGGTCTTAGGGTCGATGTAGTACCCATACTTATTATACATGTCGCCATCGTAATTGGTACTAATCAACCCTTCGTCTTCATCATTTCTCCGGACGTGGCAGAATTTGATAGTGTGGCCCTTCTGGCCACAATGCCAACAAATGGCATTCCTCCAGTCTATTCTACCTCTGCCAGCGCCTCTTCCACCTTCTTGACCACCCTGACTTCCGGATGCAGTCCAGTCCCCATTTCCTCCGCCTGTAGAGTTTCCACCACCGTTCCCTCTGCCGTTTCCTCCCCGGCCACCATTTCCTCACCCTTGGCCCCATCCTTGGTTCTGTCCTCGTCCACCGCCTTGATTGCCTTGCGACCCTTGTGGGGCGGACTGCTGGGGTTGGGTTGGCGGTGGGGCTGGATGGCTTACTTGTTGGGCTTGGGGTCCTGAGCATCCACAGGAAGCCGCGCTCATTGACGGTCCGACACATAATCCATGTGGCCCACTCATGGCCCACGGGGCGTATGAACAGTGTCCATGCCAATGACTCGGAGGCCCACAACCTGGCCACGGCCCATAGGGTGCTGGTGCAGCTTGATGGGACGACTCAGGAGGGGGCATTGCCACAGCCTGCGGGACCTGTCCCCTCCCCGAGCCTTGGCCCCCTTGAGCCAAGTTCCTTGCTTTCCTCTGAGCCTTAGTCAGCTTTTCAGGCTCAGGCTGCTCTTCCTCTTCCTCTTCTTCTTCTTCCTGTACTACTGCCTTTTTCGCTTTCCGTACGGTATGTGGCGCTGCCATGGTTTTCCTTTTTGCCTCCTTCTCTGCGTCGAGCTGGGCCACCGCGTCCTCTATCATTTTCTTGAAATCACGTCCATCACTCGTGGTGGCATCCAAAGCCTTCCTTTTCTTCCTAGCCTGCCTCATCTGGAAGATGTCTACCTGGTCCAGTTCTCCGTCCATTACGCCTTCCTTTATGGCAGCCCAAGTGAGCTTCTTTCCTGGCGCCGCCTTCTTAGTTAGCGACAAGCCCTCCCAGTTCTTGAAGTGCCCTAGGAAAGTGACACACTGGTCCTCTTCTGCCAACCCTGGGACTTTCTTTGCCATTTTCTCAAACGTCGTGGCGAAGGCCCCCACTGTGGAGAACTCGTCCCGTCTCAACATTTCCAGGTCTTCTTTGGTGAGCAGGCCGTCACCTAACTTGAAACGTCTCTGCATCTCCTCTTTAAACTTTGCCCACTCACCATTTGCGCCGGCCGCTACCTTCATTACCTCAGGTCTAAGCTCCCACCATACATACCTAGGCATCAACTTGAATTTGTCTGCTTCTGACGCCTCACTAGTGACCTGCTCCAGCAACTCAAGCCACTCGGACACTCTATCCCCGTTGAAGTGA